ACAAAGCAGATGTCACTGATAGATTATTTCAAGCTGGTGCATCCTTCACAATCTCCAATGCCATCCACCAGCTGTGAAGGACAGAGAGTTAGAAGTGATGTTAAGACCTCACTAGTCTCAGCATCTTCCAAGACCAATGACTAAAGTCCCAGCAGCCTCTCCCTTGGTTTTTAGAGGGTGGCCAAGGTAGAGAGGTTTACAGCAGTGTATTATATAGTACAATGCCTTCATACCATCATCTGACACAGTGGAAGGTTAAAAAATGTTTTAGTTTTAAGGATTTTATTTGCTATACAGTATTTATGGTACTGTAGGTTTCATGTGTGATGTAAAGTGAATATTTTCAGAAATAATTTTTTTAATTGAGATGTTAGCACAAAAGACTACAGAATTCTAGGGAATTACCAATGAGAAAAAATGTTTTGCATTGTTTTGGTTGTACAATTGTGTCTGACTTTCTGTGGCCCTATTTGGGGTCTTCTTGGCAAAGATACTAGAGTGTTTTGCCTTTTCCTTCTCCAGCTCCTTTTACAGAGGAGGAAACTGAGGCAAATGGGGTTAAATGACTTGCTCAGAGTCACACAGGTGGTAAACATCTGATGCCAGATTTGAACTCAGGATGAGGAGTCTTCCTGACTCCTCATTTTGTGGGTTATTTCATGATTACTATGTTAGAAAAAGTGTATGTTGTTATCAGAATTAACATTTTGTTATAAAAAATTACATGCAGAAAAGTCTATTTTCATCAATCTCTAGCAAAAGATTACAGTTTTTCATGGTTGAGGGAACCTAACTCCCTTTTTCCCATGGGCTCCATGCATCGACATTAATGTTTTTGTCTTTCATGACATTTTCTAGGCATGTTACCCCCGAAACATTGACTGTTGAGGATTGACTACATATGAAAGCACTTTGGGGAAAAAATGGTCTGAAAAAATGAAGTATTATTATTTTTCTTGCCTTTCCTCTTCTTCTTCCTTCAGGCCTTTTAATAGTACCATGGGGTGCTGCTCAGTCCTGAGAGTGACCCTTATGGACAGAGAAGTTAGTAGAACATCATTAATTCTCATTTTGACCTTTCTTCGTTAGAGACTCACAGTCTTATAGAAGGCCAGAGCTACGTGTGACTTGAGGACAATTTATTCCCTTCTTTTCATAGAAGAAACTGAAGTCCCTAAAGGGCACATATGCATGTTGTGAAATTGCTGGGTCTCCTGGCTCCAATCTGTGAGAGATACTC